ATCCACGCAGGTTTTGGGGAGCAGGCAAGGCCAAGCGAAGGTCATGAGACGCCTCAGCTTGCTGTTTCTGCTCTTGTTGTTGTCATGGATGTGATGAGGAGCATGCTCTACCAGCAGGGTTGAGAACTGAAGCAAGTAGATCCTCAATGAGTCGGCCAGATCTGCCTGCTTCTCAGGATCAAGAACCTACAATAACGGGAAAAACGTGTTACAAGACACTAAACGATGCATTCTTTTTAAGGCTGTGAGGCATATGGCAGACTTAAAAGTCTGTTTAAACTTGAACAGCTTCCTTTCCTGCTGGAGGTGTTGAAAACAATCCCGGGGAATAAACGGGCTGTTTGGTTTGCTCTTTGCTATGATTACCAGCAGGGGAGAGAATCAATTTAAGCGTGAAATAAATGAAGGCTATTAACCTTCATTGCTTGGAAAACAAACACTATGACCTTTATTGTAGCCTTGACATTTCTGCTGGTGAAATAACAGCCAGAGGTCATCCTGGATAAACTGGTGACTTGATAAAAGACAGAGTGAAAGCACTGCTTATGGTGCTGTTGGAGAGGGTTACCTTGGTGATGAAGACACTAGTGATGCTCTCAGGGTTGTCACCCTCTGGATTGGGTGGCCCCAACAGTTGCTCGCCTTCTCCTTTCTCAAAGCTGTATAGGAAGGCTGGGTTCAGGATGTGCTGCAACACCTGGAAAGTGGACACAAATAACATGCAAGTTACATTTATGTATTTACATTGAGGATATCAAAGAAATGGGAAGGTGTCTGTTTATCAAATGAGCAGCATTACAATTGTTTGAGAAAAATAATTTTGTTGCCTGTTATTCATTCCACAGGTCTTTAACTCCAAACTGACACCATGGCATAGATATATGATGTTGTTACAGCCTATATAAATAAACTGTATAAATATAAATGACAAAAATTTAATTGTTTATTATCACCATCACTAATAATTATAATAATAGAAAGACATCTCAGAATAGCTGCCCCTATGATGGGTAACCTGCTTCATGTATAACAAGAACTAAGGGCCACTGGAGTCTTCATGTGAGTGTATATTTAATCATATGCCAACAATTCTACTTAATGCTTTGTGTTAACTTTAATGAAAAAGATTCATGGTGAGTGAATCTTTATAGTTTTTAAGCATGTTGCAATTTACTGAATTGATTGAATTTGCTTAAATGATCAAAACCATGGCTGCTTTGGCAGCGCTGGCATAGATAAAGCCATTAAAAAGTGTGATGATGACAGAAGAGAGAGAAAAGCACAACGTAGCACCTCAGATTTTGTTAATTTGTAAGTTAACTGTTATTAATCACCCTGAAGATCATTATATTACTGTCACTGACCAGTTGAGGCCATGTTTTTAGATGCTCAAAACCCCTAATTCCATCAAGCCCTGACTTCCCATATGTTAACTCATGTGTTACATAATTATCATCTTTGAACACTAATGGCTTTGTTTCTGCTCTACATTATTAATTTGAAAGAAATATCAGAGATTAATAAGCATGTCAACCATGTACCACTTGGTAATTTAAGCTATGAGATAATACTAGCTTTGTACAAGACAATAGTTTGTCTAGTCAGACACAATGGTTGGGTTGTTTGCTAGCTGACGTGTGCATCAGCATGTGGATTTATTCAAACATGGAGGCCGTGGGG